CCGTAATCCACCAGAGGCTTCCTGTCAGTGGACGGAGAGCTCATGCTGACTTCCTGGTTTCTCTGCAAGCAGCCTGGTGAGACAGGGAGGGAAAACAGCAGAAATGCAAATCAGGTGAATTAGAGGAACAAGTCACAAAGAGACTGAACGAAAGTCTCGATGAAAAGACCCCTGAATTTCTCTTTTCAGCACCACAGAACTGCAGATGATTTAATACACATACTTATTGTTTTAGCTGTTGCTTTTTAAAGATAGTCTTAATAAGGATGACTCCCTAACTCAGATGCCTCCTTTTAACCTGCATGTATCACTTATTTCCAGGGGAAGTCACCCTGACTCTGCAAAAATACCCGACTGCTGATACACCGTGATCATGCTGACATATTCTCTTGCTGCTCTACTAGTTTAATTCCTTCTCAACCAGGCTTAATTATAGTAATGTCATGACAAATGTGCCACGCGGGATCTAACAAACTATTCGTTTTACTTTCTCCAGAGGGTATGATCAGACTAAATATATATTCTGCAGAACAACTAACCTAAGAAGTATATTTTGCCAAAAAAATTACTGAAGTACATTTCCCAGAGTAATGTAACATGTTAATATCTACGAGTTCAGTGATCTAACCCAAAAATATATTCCGTCATATTAAGCCAGTCCGTCAGCCACAATGTTAGTATAACCTAAGCATGTCCATCTTATTCGCTCTGAAAGAGGACCTTGGTGATGAACACTGTGAGGAGGGGAATACTCCTCTTATTGTCCCGGCTCTGTGGAGCATTAAACACTGGGGGCTATGTCAGGAATGGGCCTCCCCTCTCTCTTTCTCTGCCTTCGCCAAAGTCTCCACAGTCACCAGACTTCAGAGTAGACTCACTCAGGCGTACACTGTTTACTTTAAGCTGCGCAAGCACACATACACACAGATCTGAGAGGGGTTTTCGCAGACACATGCACCCTCTGGGAGCAGGTATCTGATCTAATAAGCATCGCTGCTTTTCAGTGGCAGGAAAGTATTGTGGAATCATGTTAAAAACACTTTGGCTGTCACATGAAAGTGCTGTTTCTCTTGAACATACATCTTTGTGTTTAAGCACTGCTAAAGCTGCTCAACAGGGCTTAGCATCGCACTTCAACCCCCTGTATGTTTCCTTTGCCCATATACCTACAGATGCGACTCTCACAGAAACTAAAATGTAACTCTGACTGGCCGCTGGTTATTGTGTAACGCGAAGCACCTCGACTTTGGTGAATCAAAGTCAGCCTTTGGTGAATCAAAGTCAGCCTTTGTCTTTCCTAAAAACATTCTTAGGATTCCAGACGTTCCCTTTACTCAGGCATTACGCGTGGTTTGCATTTGTATTAATAAGGACAGATTAAGAGGAAACTGAGAACTAGGGCAGCACTAACTGTAAAGCTTATACATGCGGAAAACTGTCCACATAGGCAGTAAATACAAAAGTGAAAAGACTAAAAAAAAAGACAGCGCAAAAACAAATTGATTCCCCCAGCCTAACATATCAAACAAGCAGGTTTGCAGGCCGTGTTGCACACTGGACATCAAAACTATAATATGAAGGTTAAAAAAAGCTAGCCCTCAGCTATGTTGGAAAACCTTATCTAAGGATAATGTTATTGTCTATTGTTAAGCCCAAGGCTGCTAATCACTGGTCACACAGAAACTCAGGTGTAAGTATGTTCCCTGGGTAAATACAGATTTCCAGACTTGGTAGTTGTGTAATAGCCAGTAGCTGAGCACTGTTTGGTGACAACTGGTTCACCTCCTCTACAGCTCTTTCTTGTCACAAGGAATGGCTGTGTCTACAAAGAAACAGGAATGTCATGAAACCGGACTTTCTGCCATCTCTCTTCCCGTTCCGCTCACAGAGCTCACTTTCCTCTGGCCATGTTCTGCCACCCTGTGACTGCTGCCACTCGTCTGATCTTCTACTTTCTCCCACACTGTCTCCTGTCTTTGGTATGTGAGCAGGAAGACGCGCTACTTTGACACTAGGACTTAGAGAATGGTATATTATTAGATGATGAATCAATAAAAAGAGATATCATTGGACAGAATTACTAGAATTTGTATAATCACATATCAAAAAGTCATTTTTGTGCTAGTTCTAATAAAGATGTTCTGCTTTCTCTGTGTTATATCTGTGCAAATTAAATATCTTTAGGATTTTGGACATAACAAACAATTAGATGAGATCATCTGGAACTCTGGAAAAGGATGATTGATATGTGTCACTTCTTTAGAAATATTTAACAGAATGTATAAACTAATAATGAAAGTAATAATCAGTTGCGACCTAAATATATTTATGTAATCAATCTTTTTGTTAGAATTGTGTCAAATTAAATATATTCAAAATCGTCTTACACAATTACATGTATCTTCAATGCAACCGAGTAACACTTTGATCATCTCAGATGTATCTCTTCACATATGCAAAGACTTAATGAACAAACGTTGTTGTTAAGTACAAATAAATGATTTAAAATACACTATATAAACATATAAGTGATGAAATTCCTATAAAAACGTAATTAAATGAGAATACTGGACTATCATCTACAATTAAATGAAGCACAACATCCATGTTCAAACACCATTGTATTTGTGTTTGGTTAAATGCAGTAAAAACAGAAAGGCTAGACCTGTTGTTATCAGTATTGTTGGCTGTGTTGGAGACATAGAAGCAGCTTCATCTTGTGTAAAATAGCAACAACATGGAAACACTTGTCTTTCTTTAAAAGATGTATGTTTACCCAAACACCTTAAAAGAGGGCTTGAGGTGTTCCCCCAGACACAATTACTATTTCTGGAGCAATTCATATGAAAAGGTAACTGAAGATTATTCCCCCTGTTTTAACAGATGGGACGTTGTAAAACATAATGTTTGCACATATATGATTCTTATCTTACTGTTTAACTGGACTAAGCCACATACATCTATCAAATAGGAGTGTTTTATTAGCAGACGTCACGTTATTTACACAGCTGGTCTGACAAATTCAATAATACCATTTTCAAATTAATATCAAATAAAAGTACTACTTTATTCAGGGAGAGCATCAGGGCAGTGCACCTGTCTGCTCCTAGGAGAGTTGCGTCACACCCACCTCTCCGGTCGGTCAGTATCGGTGCGCGTCGAAACCTCCGGGTTGTTTACTGGGACCCCGAGCACAGTAGGCAGGTAAACAACCATAAAACCTACCCCCAGTCCTACATGAAGCGTTCCCCAGCCTTAATAACCTCTTTTATCCTCTTTACGCCGCGCAAATAGATCCAATTCTAGACAGCAGCGGAGTACACACAGAGCCGAGACCAAAAGCTTTGACAACACGCCTGAAAGCGCACAACAAAAGGCTTTCTGCGCCCAATTCTAGGTCATTACAAGGTTGCCAAATCAAACAACAAAGCCACAGGTGTCCATATCGGTTTATCCAAATGCTATTAAACGCTCGCTCAGCAAAATGGAGCTTACAGCATTGCACTTTCCCCACTCAAGTGGAGAGTTGATAAGCAGCAGCTGTGTAAATACTTGTTTACTGCACCTGTACAGATTATCCTATAACCGCGAAATGTTGCTCCCTCCTGCTTCAGTGTTCACGGCCGCTGCTCTGTACTGTTTGGTGGGATGAGAAGACCTTACTCAATGAACTGAGGACAGCGGGAAATGTCTCTCTCCCCCCCCCCCCCCTACCAGTGCAACCTGTTGCCAGAACATCGGATAGCCGTGGTCCCGCCTCAGGACCGAGCTGATTGGTGGGCGGCTCCCTTGGGGGCGGGGCCTGCTGTGACCATAGTTTCATCTCTGCATTCCATAGACTGTATATATAAAGCTGCATACACACACACACACACACACACACACACACACACACACACACACACACACACACACACACACACACACACACACACACAGGTTAATTAAATAAATAGCGTGTATGACACATTTCTGCAGTTGTTAAGGGAAATCATTTCTGAATCAATTTGAAAATGTAAACATATAATGATGTCTAATCCCAATGCAGATCAGGAGAAATACTGATCACTGCTGAGGCAAAACTAATTAACTATTGACAGGACAAAGGCGAGTCCAGTTAGATCACATGGTTTTCTGCTTTATAGCTACACTACAGCATATATGGCCTTTACATTGCATCCTTAACTTACATTTTGTTAGTTATACTTCTGAGACTTTTTGATTAGCGTTTAGTTATATTATCTTCACTTATACATCAAGAAGCTACTCCTGTGTTATATCAATATTCAGGGAAACTTTAATGCCACATTGAACTCACAGTCTTTGTAAAGACCCTAACACAACTTTATTAAACATCCAAATGATCTCATGATAATGTGGTAAGGGTCTACTGTAAATAACTATATAAGTTGGTACCCAGCACAATGAAAGAGGCACGCTGGAGAACATCCAAGAGTTTGACAGAACAGCTCCATTTAAACCCATGACAATAATTAATCAGAATTATTTATCTCGGGAGAATGTACTATCCACAATTGTTGAATTGTTAGCTTTGCTTTAGACACATTGTCTATAATTGCAGGTTCAGCTGACTTGCTCTATCATGGCAAACATTAATTTAGTCATGCTTCTTCTTAGCGTATTATTTGAATTCATTTTAAGAGTGGTGAAGAACATAGTCCCCATTTTACATTTGATATCTAACTTTTTGTTCATGAAACTTCTTTAAGATACATAAAGAAATTAATAATGAATAGGCCCACACAATCACATTTTTACTAATATGGGGATGTAAAATAAGTGTGAACAATCATTATGATGCTAACTTATATCCAACAAGCTTAATGAAATCACTCTTGTAAAAGTGTGAATTGTTTTTCTTTTAGAAATAATACAATGTAAAGAAAACCTTAAAGCAAATCCCTGATGTCCTAGGAAACATCTGAATGTAAACAGTCAAAAAAAGGAGCTGCATTGGCAATTATTAAAAATAAATTACATTATCAATTTCATTGGGTTTGTCAACCCTCATTTTAATACAACAATTAGCAAACAAATAAAAAAGAATGAGAATAAAAACAGACATGGACAAGTACAAAAAAAATCTGTCTTTACTTCAAAGTTCAGTACCTTTCCCTTCCCCACCTGGTGTGGGACCCACTGTTCCTCCGGGGTCCACCAGGAGGCGCCAGAGCAGAGCAAGAGCACAGCACAAACACCAGTACAAAATAAAAAGGAACAGCTGAGAGCAAGAAAAAGAAAGGCAACTTGGACATTGAATAAAGAAAAATAGGGAAAGAGAGAAGTAAGAATAGTTATAAACACCTTATATCGTGACAGAAATTTGAAAAATGGGTATTGTTCGCTCTTAAGTTATTTGGTCTACTTCAAGGCCTCTTGCAGCGCAGAGGCCAGATATAAACATAAACAGATCAGTTACTGCATTGGTTCACATGCACCCCCCCACTCTTTTTTTGTCTTTTTTTTTTATAGAGGACTATGCACATCTGATATGAAATGTTGTCACTACTTGCAAAGCCAACACCATCGAAAAGCACTGATTCATGTGTACTGCAGACATAAAAAGTAATGGATGACTCAAATGTACTGTTTAAAATCCAAAATGTTAAACTGTATACAACCAAGACACATCATTTCAAATAATAATTGTGTTCATTGCTCAACTCTGTGGCATGTTCACAACTGATGAGCTGAGTACCAGACAAATGTTTTTTACCCAATATTTACAACTATTTCAAATGGTAAAATCCTTTGTGAGGTGTGGATGAAAACGTGGCCAGGGTCTCCTTTGGGTTAATCAGCACTGGGTACAAAATGATAGAAACAAGAAGTACAGGTCTGTTTGTAAGCATGTCTGAAGGAACAGACAAAAGAACTTAACATTTCATTTTTTCACCAATAACATACGGTTTACTTAACACAAGATTTTACGCTGCAATATACTGATTTTATCTTCCATTTTCTCTCACTTGCTTGCAGTAAAAAGGCTCACAATGTGGAAGGGCAGTGCTAGATAAAGCATTTTGATGGAAAATCAATTCATGAATGAAACCAAAGTCTGTTGAAGATTATTTAGGCACTCTTTTTTTCCTCAAATTTAAAGATGCAATACATCAAGTCGTTTTTAATGTATGATGCTTTGAGTCATTGTGTCAATACACAGTAAGGGAATATTTTTAACATTACTTTCTCCGCCTAAGGTGGTTTACGTGTTCGAAATAGCATCTTACTCATGTGTGCATGAGTGTGGCGAGTCAATCACAGTCAGTCAGTGCGGGAGCGTCCGTGCCAGTCAGTCACAAAGTGTGTGAGGTAGTGTGTTGGTGTCAGTGCTTTGCTGGTTGGCAGGCTAGATGTCTGAAGTACTGTTTAGTTTAACATTCATTGTGATTTGACTCCTTTAGGGGGGGAATAAAACTACAAATCATATACCAAGAGTCACTCAAGGTGGTACAGATAAGCATGAAAGTCATCGAGTGTGTTTCTCTGGGTAGTGAACAAGTAAAGGGCTAGTCCAGAGAAAGTTGGGCAAGTAGGTGACATGACACACAGCTCATTCAGTTCGATCAAAGCAAAGAATGTCTCCATTTGTCGTCATGTGATGCACCTCCATGCTGCTCCTTTTTCATCCTCTCCTCAACTCTCGTTAGCTGCAACCAGCTGGCCTAGTCCCTGCCGCACAAATACCGCCTGGATGTCCTTGGTCTTGATGCAGAAGTCACAGGCCCAAACAGCGGCACTCTCTCGAGTCAGCAGCGCATATGCTGGCTCTGTCAGGCCTGTGCAGTCACGGTGGAACCAGCGTTGGCACGACGCCTCACACAGGATGGCGTCCTGGTCGTCATGCACCTCCGCCATGCAGAGGCCACAGGGAAAGACCATCCCGGGGCCGCCCAGTTTTCCAGGGCCGGAGCCAGGCCCGGTCGAGGGGGCAGCAGGGCCGGGGGGCAGGGGACTCTGGGTGTTTGGGGTTGAGGTGGAATTAGACGGGGGATTGGGGTTGCTGCCTGGAGTGTTGCCTCCGTTGTTGGTCATGCTGTTCTGACCCGAATTGGAGGCCGCATTGGGCATGGGTCCGCCGGCACCGGGAGTGTTGTTCTGCTGGTTGTAAGGGGTGGAGCCAGGGCCGGAGTGAGGTGGGGTGGATTGTTGTTGTTGTTGTTGTTGCTGCTGCTGCTGCTGCTGCTGGGTAGAGTTGTTAGAGTTGGGGGTGTTGTTGTTGTTGGGGGGTTGTAGCTGACCGGGGGGTTGATGCTGGGGCTGGCCTGACCCATTTAGAGGCCCAGTAGGGGAGGAGTTGGGGTTCGGTTGTGTCGGCGCTGAAGAGGGCTGACCAGGTGTGTTGGGGTTGGGCTGCTGGGCGTCAGGGTGGCCAGGGAAGCCTCCCCCTTGCTGTGGAGGGCCAGAGTTAGGAGCAGGGCCAGGAGGGGTGTTATTAGGAGGGGGGCCATTGGGATTTAGGTTAAGATGTTGCTGCTGAGGCCCAGGTGGTGGCCCTCCTCCCCCAAAGTTCTTTCCATCCTCGTTACCTGGCCCTGGCGGACTGGGGCCAGGGTATGGACCATCCTGTGAGGGGGGGAATTGTCCTTGAGGGGGCATACCAGGTAACCCCCCCACCATGTTTCCTCCGGGGCCACCACCCATGCTACCCATCATGTTCATTCCAGGACCCATTCCTCCCATGGGAGGCAGGGGGCCATGTGGGGGCCCTCTAGGGCCTCCACCACCAGGTAACGGTGGGCTGTTGAATGGGTGTCCACCCTGTCCGTGCTGCTGCTGCTGCTGGGGAGGCATGCCAAACCGAGGGTGGGGAGGCCCACCTCCTCCGGGACCTCCCATAGCCCCCGGAGATAACATGGGATTGAATCCTGGCCCAGGATGCATTGGTGGACTGAAGTTTGGTGGCATATTGAACTGAGAAGGGCCACCGGGGGGGAATCCACCTCCTCCTCCCCCGCCACCTCCAAAGCCCGGCATTCCTCCAAAGCCTAGCTGGTGGTGAGGTCCAGCGTTGGATGGAGGGCCAAATGGTGGCCTTCGACCAGGTTGGCCTCCACCTGGTCCTCCTGGGCCTCCCATGAAGCCCATGCCTACGCCCATTCGGCCTCCACCACCATACCCACCTCCTCCGCCTGCACCTGGACTGGGAAGAAATGGAGCACTGCCTGTTCCACCTGCCACGCTAGGTCGAGATGGGGGCCCAAAGTCATCGTCGAAGGGGTTGGATGCAACCAGGTGGTCCACCATGGGGGTAGGAGGGGGTGCAAACTCCGTTAGGTGGGAGAACCCTGCCGCCTAAAGGAGAAAGAAATACAAAATAAATGTTTTTAATTAATTTTGCTGTACAGGAACATTTAAATGTTTCCTTTAAGTAGTCTCCAAGATCCATTTGTTGCATACAGAGAGGACTTTTTTATTTTATCGAGCAAATAGTAATTTCACCACAAGATTATAGTTGCCAACATTTTTTTTTAAATTAACAATATCTAGTGAAACTTGAAAAATAAATAAATCTATCAGATAAATTATTTGTTAATTGTGCATTTTGTCTCTTTCTTGGCAACTAAATTGCACTCTCACTTACTGGGGAGTTATGGGAAGGAGACAAAGTGAGAATGGAAGGAAATAAAATATTTGTTATATCACTGTTATCGTCAATGCTTGTATATTGGGAAACACTAGTAGCAAAGTAATGACATTTCATCACAAAACAACCCTTACCTGGTTGGTGGATTTCCTCGCCTTCTTCTTCTCCGGGCTCTTCATCTGAGAAGCTGAAATAGGGAAATATGAACATTAGCCACAACAAAACTAGGCCATGGGGTCTCATACTTTTGGTCCAGCACCAATCAAGCGCACCATCACATTTGGATTGGCCAATACCCCTTAGTGACAGAGTGGAGCAGCTTTAGACCTAGGGTATCTGTTTCAAGTCCAACAGTTGAGATGGATTCAATGATGGGACATAGACTGGCATGAGGACAAGATGCTGAACATCCAGGCGCTATCATCACCAAGGTTATGAAGCCTTGAATCGCAAATGACCCAGGCAGACCAAATGACCCAGGCGAGAGGGAGAGAGGCCGCAAACAGAGGCAGAAGAGGTAAGGTCAATGAGGGAGACAGGATAAGACGAAGACATGAGAACGAGGAAACGGAGTTGAAGGTACATTTATAGCAAGATAGACATGAACCCCGTTCAGAGATCCACTGTGAGAAACAGCCACCACCGGAGACGTGAAGTTTACATATGGAGGAGGCGAGAAGGGATTTGGGAACAGCCCCAGTGCAGCCCATTGCAGCGCAGTAATGGATGATTCCGATCTGATTGGGAGATGGGTGAAATTAATTCCTACCTTTGCTTCGTTTTCCTTGTCCCGCCAGTAGTCTCCCCGATTCGGCAGCCATTAGCTAATATGACTGTCGGTGAAGTGGCATATCACCGTGCATATGCAAGAAAAAAAAAGTTAAAAATGACGACGTCTTGAAGGCTACGAGCCGAGTAGGTGGATACTGCCTTCAGGTCATGTCAATAACGTCAAAATGCGTAATATAACATCAGAAACTAACACGAATATTATATTAAAACGCCGGCCCAGGTCTGCACACTCCTTTACAGCTGAAAATCTTTCGCCACGGTGTCTGTCACGCCGGGATTTGGTCACCAAATAAACGACAGGTAAAACTGAGCTAGTTCACGTTTTGAGCACAAGTTGGTCTCGTTGCAAGCCAGTCACTTCTCACTGAGTGCATCTGTTGCTTGCTACCTGGCTTGACTGCCAGTAGTAGCAAGTTACATAGCACCCCCCTCTCTTAATGATCACTTACAGATGTGTAGCAAAGAAGACGACCAGCTAGCTAACGCAAGCTAGTTACTACCTTGGCTAACCAGCTAGCCACGCTATTCAATGTGGCTTGCTAGCAGCGTTGAGATTTCACCCAGTAGCGGCAACACTGCAACATTTATCGAAAACTGTGATTTCCCTTGTAACACTCATTTGGGAAAAGGTGCATTCAATTCCACGTATCACAGCATTTAAAAGATAAAGCAATCGATCATGTTTTGAAAACTGGTGTTTACTATGCTAACATTAGCTTGCTAGCTAACGTTAGCATGCCACTGAAGATAGCTAGCCATCTTGCAGACTGTCTTGGAAGCAAACTGTACCCTTTCTCCGTTGCTTGCTCTGCTGTCCTTTAAATTGAAACTCTCTGGTGTGTCATTGCCAGCAAACCAGTCCTCACACGGTGTATGCTTGTTGATCCACCATTCAGCTATAATTCATTCAAAAACGCAAATGTTGCCATAATTATCATGGCCTACTATCGCCACCGGACAAAGAGGGACAAGCAGGAGTATCGCGCACCGTGGAAGGTTACACCTCAGCGCAAACATGGGGGTGGCGACAAGTATACTTCATGAATATAAAAAGCATTTTCAAATGTTAAGATAAGAAAACATGTTGTAGTATCATCTATCAGATAAAAAAAGTATTTATTAAACAAATATCCATACGACTGCCGTCCACAATGTGTTATTCTATTTGCAGAACTACTTTCATACCTTTCACTGGTATATTTGGCGCAGCTCAGAACAGACCATTTCCAAACGATACCCCTTACAATTAAATAAGGGGTGGACAGCCAATTAAGCACATTATCAAGTGACATCATGATTAATCTTGCATTAACACCCAGCAACATCCAACTATTAACATAACTGTCGAATTCAATTTGAGTCGTTATCTAAAAAAAAAGTATTGCATGAAGGGAGATTGATTATGAGCATATGTTTTAATCTAATTAAATGCAAGCATCTAGAATATTGTATGTACATTTCTAAATCGCCATTTTGATTCGTATATAAATAATAAAATGAATATATGTATAAAACGATGCTAGGTTAATTTTACAGCTCAATAAGAATAAAGCTGTCACTTATCCTGGTAAAGATCGACAGAACTCCTAAAAAGGTTATTCTACCATGGTCTCTAGAATTAAAGCTTATCACCGCCCACCCGGTCATGCTTCCCCCCTCTTAAATGTAGACACCCCCTCCCCTCTATACACCAGGCGCAGTCAGGAGCCTCATTGCAAGAGTGGAAAGTTGTGAAAGACCAGATAAACTGCACTCTGGGAATGGGACCACAAATTCCAAGCAAGAAGAACTTCGCCTTCTATCGGGTAATTCCACTCCGAAGACATATTTTCATCCAAAGGGAATAAACGTGTCCTCTATATCAGAAGATGGAACAAATCACAAAAGAAAATCACAAATGGGATGAAGTAGGGAAACTTGTCTTTTTTTTTTTTTTTTAAAGCACTCTGTTAGTCACCCACAAACTTTGTTTTAAGTTAAATCTTAACAAATATAGTCTTTTGGGAAACATTTATGACACCAAGGCTTTGAGGTACTGTAGTCTATGTTCTTCCCTAGAATAAAGCAACGGAAGTCTTTTGTTAAAAAGGCTGTGATTTCTAAAGGTGCGTCTCTGGGGCCCTGTGGTGTTTGGCGCTAAAAGGTGTCAGAGCACGCATAGAGGTTTATTGGTTTCCATCTGAGTTAACATGGCGAAGTGGTTCAAGGAGTTCCCTATCAATCTGAAGAACGGGACCGACAGGATCCGCTCAGCCTCCGAGTCAGGCTCGCAACCCAGAGCCAATATAGCCGGGATGGTGGCCAGCATTGGTACCAAAACAACAGCCTCCAAAACGGGCCAGCGCAAGAACTCCTCTTCCGACAGCACAGGCGGAGGAGGTGGGGGAGTCGGGTCTCTCCTGTCCGGGAGAAACCGAAAGAACTCGGCCTTAGAGTTGGGTAAAAATGGTGCAAGCTCTCCGAAAGAAGGGAACGTTTGGGACAACCTCCTGTCTGGTAAAAGTCGCAAGAACTCAAAAGCAGAGCCTGTGTTTGAGGAGCAGCACAAACCTCTGAAAACCTCTCCATCTGCAAACTCCTACATAAGCCGGCTGATCAGAGTGGACAAACAGGACAAAAGCCCCAACTTCAACAGCAGCACCATCACCAACCCTGTGGTACCTGAGGCAGAGAAACTAGGCCAGTGCAAGATAGAAGCAGTGAGTAATGTCTCAGATTGAGAATATCTATTAAACCTGTAGTATTTTGACGTTGTACTTAGAGACTTGGTATAGCTTTCTTAAGTAATTCCATATTCTTACTAATACTACAATTGAAATATTGTACTTCGTACCACACTCCATATTATTTCAAAGTTTAAAATGCTATTTACATTTGTATTAATAGGTAAAATATGATCAATTAATGAATCAGGAAGTGTTGGGTTTATTAGCCCTATAACCTTCATCTTCCATCTGCAGCATTTGTGATATTTACACTTTTTAAAGCATCAATAATTCAAATCTAATACTAGATCTTGTACATAAGTACTTTTAATTTATATATTTTGATTATAGTACTTTTAACCAGAACTTTAACTTAAAGTGAAAAAGTATTCTTAGATTGTGAAATAGCTTCTTTTTTTTATCTGAAGTCTTCTTTCATCAGGGATAATCATAATCTCATAATATCCATTACATTATTAATTTGCACAATAAGTAATACTTTTTACACCAAATAAATGCTTTTACTTTCAAATATATTGAATATATTGAAGCAAAAATGTTTAGGTAAGACTAAATGCATTTTCACTTTTAAATGATGAGTATTTCTACAGTTTGTTATTGCTCAAGGTCGATTATTAAAACTGACTTAATTAAAGCCAAGGCAGCATTTTTCTTTTCTAGCTGTGGATTAATACAAATAACAAATGTTGTCATCAATATTGTTGACAATGAAGTAGCAAGAATTCGGTCTAAGCTCTGAAAATTGATATTATTGTTTCAGATTCTCCCCCCTTTCTTTGTCTCCGCTCCGCTTTGTGTCCTCTTCTCCCGGTTGGTCTTTCAGTATTCCCCTTCCTTCGCCTCATCCCTCTCTTTCATTCAGGCCCCCTGGTGAATTAGGCTATCATGTTGTAAAAAGCATCGAGTTATTTGACACCTAGGTGCTAACCAATAACCCCCCTCCAGCTTGGCTTTGGACAAAAAGAAGAGAGATAGTGAAGTCAGGGACAGAGATACTGTAGAAATGTTGAGAAAAAAGGACATATAAAAGAGAGGAGAATAAAATGGAGTTTCACATTTCAGAAAGAGGGTGAATTCTTGATCTCAAGTCAATAAACACTAGGAACAAACGTTTTTTTCAAAGGAGGAAAATAAATGACAGTAAAATGTGTAACTAAACCACTCTAAACCAAACACTTTTACTTCACTCTGAATCTCAGCCTGTCCAGCATCTGCTACTTTACTCAAACAGACACTTATTTGGCAGAGGAACACAACTGGAAGTGATTAGAGAGACAACTTTATTTTACGGCGGCATTGTGTCTTGGCCACTGTGACTTGTAAAACAGACAAGTAAATATATGGCACTGATAAGATGACAAGACAGCTATAGGCTTCACTGGTGCAGCAGAATATAGGTTGTTAACAGAAAGATGTGAAAATAATTAACAAGATAAGTTGTTGGGTATTCTTCTGAAGTCTGTCAGAATTTGGCCTGGTGTTAAGAGTTCATATGAATCTTTTAGTCTCTTGAAATATATTTTTGAAAGTATTTTGATTATTGTTTAACTCCAAAAGTGCTTAATTGATCTGATTCCTGCTTTCAAATAGGAATGTTCTTTGTTGCCATATAGTAAATTGAAGATCTTTAGGTTATTGATTGTTGTCCAAAAAAGACAATTGGAAAGTCCTACATGGTATTTTTCCCAATGTTCTTACATTTTATAGACTGATTCATTAATCAAGCAAATTGTCAGGAACCAAGGATAACCGATAATAAGAAGAGTGGTTGCAGATGACATTTAACACTCGTCAACTTTCCTGCAGGTTGCAAAACAATTTTCTTTCACATTCAGCTCATTGCAGCTGATAGCAAACTCTTTCTATCTCCTTGGACCTTGTTCTTTTAAGTCATGCATGAAAAGGTGATTTCCTGTGTTTTTTGATCAGGTGATCATCCTTGAGGATTACGCAGATCCCTTTGATGCTCAGAAGAAAATAGAGTCGAGGGAAGCCGAGAGGGTCGGGGAGAACGATGGTTACATGGAGCCTTACGATGCCCAGCAGATGATTACAGGTAATTCATCAATAAGAGCTGTTACTGTAGCTGTGTTGTTTCATTCAGTCCCTGCATTAGCCCCTGTGTGAATGAATCCCATTTCCAGTCTCTGCAGGCCAACATTGAGAACATGAACTCGCTCCCATAGTGCTCTTTGCACCCCATGGGGTTGCCATAGTAACTGTGCATGTGATCGGACAATGGGTGCAGTTTCCTGCCCCTGCTTCCTTTTTCCTGTCTCTGTTTCCTGGTTCTATTCTCTAAAAAGGAAGTTGGCCCTGAGTGCCCCCTGCCTCCTCTCTGTGTAACCCCCTATATGGACCTGTCTGTCCATTTATCAAAACTTCCCAGCATCTAGGAAGACTGATGTTCCGTCGTCCAATCACATGCTCTCCTGACCTTTCCTTCCATCACTCCATTGTTTTAACTAAAAGGATTTTACAATAGCCAGCTGTGAACGTGAACATGTTTTATTGCATTGTGCTCTAGAAGATTTGACTTCAATCAGAGCCTGTGCTACTTCCAGGCCTCCTGTAGTCTACAGAGGATGTGATGATGGGACTGAGTCAATCTACGAGGCTTAAATCATACTGAGGAAGTAAGCAAGACTCTGATGTCACTGTGACTTGAAAAGCGAGGTTATGAGAGGGCAGCGTTATTATTAACTCTTTCGTAGCAGATGACAGCCGTTACACAAATCAAAGTCTTACATTTGTTCATACTGTAGTTTACCATGATTCAGAGATCAATACCATTTTTTATTTTCTTCTTATAACAAAACATAGAACAAACTAAAATAACTTAAACTTTAAATAGTCCTAACTAATGGCTTTATTAATAGTTCATACATAGTTTACACAGCGTTATTGAAACTTTTTGACTTTTTTCACAAGATGTCAAGAAAACATTTCCATCCCACTTTCTCAAAGTCTTAGGCGATGTGATTTTCATGTCATGTCTTGTCAGTCCAAAATGTGAAGATATTCAGTTTAATATGATCTAAAACAGAGAAAATCAGGACATCTGAATGTTAAAGAGGCTGAAATCAGTATTTCCTGCCATTAAGCCAGTACATGAAAAATCCCTCTAAGTAATTAGACTGATAACTACTTATCTTTTGGAGCAAAATCTATTTATAATGTATAACAGCAATATAAAAATAATTCACACAAGCAGATGTCATAACCTGGAAACATTTTCCTTAGTAATGGCATTGAGCTATTGAGAATTT